GCATATACATCGACAAGGAACCGCAAAACTCAAAGTTTAAACTTCGTGACCGAATGACATAAAACTGACATGTCAACTCCAGCATTTTCGCCCTTGATCGCGTAATTTTGAAAACGGGTGGAAACGTTTGAAAACTCTTCGCCACGAACACAAAATTGATTCTATTTTAAGTCTAATTATGAGTAACACTAAATGTTATCTGCTATAAGAGATATATATCCAGGCGCGAAACTAGCCCCTTTTACTGATTCGGGGGGTGTCTGCCAATTCCTGTTAAAACATGGCTTATAAACCCTTATTTTTGGACCAATATAAATTCTATAAATTCCCTCTGACAGCCCTGTAAATTACTTAACTCAACATTCTATCATTTAAAATCTTTGATTTATTCAAAACAATAAATAATAGTAATTTTTACCAACCTTAGCTCCAGGATATGATTATTCCTTGTCCGGCCTATTAATATCCGCAATTCCCGCCAAAACTCTCACGACTGAGTGCAATTCCCGCCAAAAAATTTACGACTGAGTCAGTACAGGACTGAGTCCATGTACCGTCGCTTGCAGGATGAACGGTTGTTGATAAAAACATTGCCTATTCGCGTGAGAATCTTCGATATTTGTCAAGAGCACGTGACAGGTTCTGATCTGATGTTAATCTGTTGAACAACCAGATCAAAGCTTTGAAACCACCAAATGATCATAAATGATCATCAAAAACATTGAAGTTTCTCGGTAAAAACATTGAAATTTACCATGAGAATAGACAATACTTTACTGCGACCGTTCAACCTTAGTGCATTCAGTGAATGAGTCCGCCTTTTACAAATCGCAGCCCACGATTTGTAAAACATGGACTCGGTCCGCGTTTTACAAATCTTAGTTCGCGATTTGTAAAACACGGACTCATTCCGTGTTTTCCCGGTCCAGTCCAGTCCAGTCCGTGTTTTACAAATTCAGTCCGCGATTTGTAAAACACGGACTCAGTCCGCGTTTTCCCGGTCCAGTCCAGTCCAGTCCGGTCCAGTCCAGTCCAGTCCAGCCCGTCTTTTACAACATGCCATTCACTTTTACGGCAAAGCATGAAGAGACGATATAACAGTTTGAATAAATATTAAAAATATTGGCAACACCATGCAGTATGTTGCCTCTAATATGTACTCTTAACCCTTGTACTCAAACAAATTACAGCTAGTAATAATACAACATTTTCAACACATTCTCTAGATGTAATAAAACCTGCATACACAAATTTGGCAATGACCATGTCATTTCCCATTCACCCAGGGACGCCGGAACGATAATAGGGCAAATGGGGGCGGGCGCACACCAAGGGCACCTTTACTGAAAATTTTTTTTTCACTGCAAAATTTTTTGGCGACCTCCCCCCCCCGTCGCCAAAAAAATTTCGGTCAGTGTACCATTTTAGGGGTAAAAATTTTTTTCCGGACATACAAAAATTTTCCGTGAAGCCAAAAATTTTTCAGGATATCTTAAATTTTCCCAATTTCTTCGAAATATTTTTCTAAATTCCAAAAATTTCCCAAAATTTTCATAAATAGAAACTATAAATTACCTGAATCTCGTGATTTTCCTAAAAAAAGCATCGTTGGAAATGTGATTTATCACGTATTATTTTACAACTAAAAGGGCACTTCTGCCCCCCCCTGCCCCCCTAGCAAAAGGCAAGGGGGGCAGCCGCCCCCCCTGCCTCCCCAGTTCCGGCGTCCCTGCATTCACCCATTGTTGAATTGCATCCAAACAGGACCAAACTCTTACAATTTATACATTTTGAAACCGCCATACAATGCTAAAATCTAAATAAAATATTTTTGTACGTGCTATGTTATCGAAATGCAAATATATAAACGCACTATTGCACTGACACATAGCTCATAGGCCTATGTGTATAATTAATAATTGTATTATTATGATTATCACAAAACGTAAATAGTGTAAAAATTATTGTATTATAGGCCTATATTACAACGAAAGACACAACGCTGAAGTCAGTTTGACAAGTCTGCTCTACTCCCGCTCTAGTTTTAATTTTAGACGGTAGGTACTGTTAGTACATTTGTCGTTCGACTTCGCAAAATATTTAGAATATTACACTATATGCATAGTATATGCGTTGTTTTAATATTTGATTTACCGTTGAAATATATTCTGATCTTTTCAAATCTTTTCATGTTAGCGACCGACCAATCACAACCCATTTCCCTGTAAATTATCCAATCAGCTATTCCGACCGCCAGGCGGTCGGATTACACAGCGTTTTGACACGATTTTCATCAGACCTACGTTTCGCCCTTTTCGTCGACCCGCGAATTTTATGGCGGGCGAAACGTAGGTCTGTTTTCAGGCTAAGAATTACAGTAAAATAACAAAATAAGGCACACTAAGGAGCATTGTGGCTTAATGATCTTAATGAGTTAATTAACAACAGATAGATAAAGGCATATAATATTACGGTTTCTAGTGCAATTTGAATTGGAAAAAAAAACGTGCATGCATGACTGAGCTTTTCTACGACGACCAAGATTGCAACAGTCCGAACGAGTGTAATTTGGGTTCATTAAAAACTTACGAGAATTTGTTTTTTGAATTTGGACGAGAAACCATATTATTAACTACATAGTATACATGAAAAATTATGCTGAAGCAAATTCATTCTTTTTCGCTTGGAGGCATGAAAGACATGCGATATAAATACTTTACTCACTCACTTGAATGACACAACAACTTAGTACACGCCAGTTTTCAACAGTAAATCAAAATGATGTCTTTCGTTTTCCTGCTTGCCACGTGTCTCTTATTTGCAGGGCCTCTCAGAGGGGTGGGGAGGAAAAGGGGCAATTTGGCCAAGTTAAGGTGGCTCGATACAGTTTTCAAATATTTAGGTGTTCAACATGTTCAAACTACGCCTTTTTAGGATTTATTCCGCAGATATTGGTTTTTTTTTACATATTTTGATCTCTACTTTCAAATTATATTAGTTTTAGTAAAGAGAGTTCGTTACTATGACGACATACGTGTACGAAATTCACTCCAAAATGGTCTATCGTCTCGTATAGTTGGAAAAGAAGCATGGTGACCTCCAATTGTTTTTCGTGCATTATTTCACTTTCACGAAAAGCTAACAATTAGCAAAAAATAAAAAAATTCTGTAATGCCATTTCTTTGAAAAATGCGAAAATGTCGTACTCTTCGGCAAAATGGTTTTGGCATTACAATTTTTTTTTATTTCTTGAATAATGAAAGTTTTTAGCGGTGCAATACAGCATGCAAAATTTGAACATAGGTCACCAGAGAAAATAGAGAGATATAGCGTCAGGTCATTTTGGAAGTTCTTTCATTTTGTTGATCAGTTTCCGCGACCTGCGCTTAAAAGTATTCACCCGGTTTTGTTCGCAATTCTTGAGCAGGGTTTTTGCGATAACTATATCGATCCACCTTAAATATTGCAAGAGGGTGCCACAAAAGGTGTAATTAAAAGAAATTATTTGCAACGAATTGGTATGAGAAAAAATTTTAGACCTTAATTTACTGGTATTGGTCCAAAAAATGTGTTTGACTCGTTTTTTACTGGTATTTGTCCGGAAAATATTTTTGAACCTTTATTTAACTGGTGTTTGTCCGGACAAATTTTGGAACCTTTTTTTGGAAATATTTTTTTACCCTTCCCCCTTTCTCGCCAATATTTTTTGGGAAAAATAGAGGCCCAGAATTAAAAATTGTTCCGGGCCATTGAATTTCTCTTGGAGGCCATGCTTGTTTGGCTCCAGTTACTTTGATCTTCCTGGATTCAAAAACTCCTCGATTATTAGTCTCGAGCCGCCGGCGCGAAGCGCTGTGCGAGGGTACTAATCCCCCCGGCTATTTACACCCGGGGAAACGAAAGCATTAGCGAAGTCTAAAGTTCATCAAATATATATCGCGGGCGTGGGTCACCAACCGTGGGTGGTCATCCTCACGAATCTCAAAAATATGGCGGACTGTCATGAATAGCAAACACTGTGATTGGTCCAATTTAAAGAGTGCATTATAACGACTGCATGACGACAACGAAATACCAAACATTTCTTTTTTGATGATTGATAAATTTCTTGCAAATATATTTCATTTTTGCTCGCATTTTTGCAAGATTTTGTAAATTTCAAGAAAGAAATGTCGAAAGAATCGCCTAAACGAAGGGAGCCGACGTTAACGAAGGTAAGTTTGTTTTAAATATTGATTTTATAATTGCTTTAAAACTCGGCGGCCTTTGCGTATATGAAACAACTAAACAAGACAACATATCGGGCCCCATTTCAGTGTATCTTTAATTCTGATACCCTTTTTTATTATATTGAATTTTTTTAAATAAAAAAAAAGCAAAGTCATTTGCATGCTAGAATTTGAAATCATTTTATTGCAAACTCAAAGTTTATCGATAAAGCCATTTTAATTTATTAAAGAATAAAGTTTAGTTTCATAAAGAACACTTTAAAACGTTTTGCGAATATATGGAGGGAAATTGACAATTTTGTAATTAAAAGTGATATTTTTAAGCGACTTTTCATTTGTAAGAATATTCTTAAAAAATTATCGTGTTACCATGGAAACTACTTTAGATACGTCATGTTCGGAAAATATAATGGTTTTGTCAGCAAGGCGAGGGTTTCTGCACGCATGTATTTTTTAGTACGGGAGATGAATATCGTCCAGATTTACTTCTCTCCACCTCAAACAAACACATCTACGTACATTGTTGAACTTACCATAAGCTTTGAATCAAACTTCACAAAAAAAGTTAACCGCAAGAAAGCTAAATAAAAGAACCTACTTAGAGAACTGGATCAAAACTTTATATCTGTCAAATTAATAAATCTTTCTGTCAGTTCGCTCGGGGTGTTTGAAAAAAGAATGCCATACATTCATAAAAATGCTAAATGATTTAGGACTAGATAATCAACACCAACAATATAGCGTTAGAAAATGTTATATCTGTTCCCATCCGATCAACATATTACAATTTTTCTGTACAAATAAAGAATGGACAACTCCCGAACTAATGAATCTTATTATTTTTATTAAAAATTAATAATTTTTGTATATAAAATTATAATCATGCATATGTGATTTAATTGCAAATTATCTCAACAAGTAAGATTTACAATAAGCAATTCCAGCTTTGAATTTATGCGCGAAGGGGTGACGGGAGGCAAGGTATCATATTGCTGATTATGCTGAAAAATTTGAATAAAAACTGCGGAAACAACCAAAAGATTTAAATATGTATATACCAGTATAAGCTATCATTCATTATTTTTTTAGCATATAATCAGCAATATGATACCTTACTTCCCATCCCCCCTGCAACGCATAAACTAACAGGAATTTGGAATTTGCTATTGCGCATATCTATAAATGTTCTCTTTTAATGAAGTTTTCATAACTATAAGTTATGATATTTACAAGAATAAACACACCCGCAAATATAGAGCATGCATAAGATAATCTAGGCGGGTATTGTTAAATTATATTAGTATTTTAAGATATTTTAGTAACAAATAAATGAAGGCTGATAGCAAATATTAATAATTGTCCTGGATTACTTAACTAGTCAATTGTATAAATGTGCACAATTCACTTATATATTTGAATTTAATTAGAGATAGCATTAACATAAAAACCCGCCTCGACCAGACCTTGCAAGAGAATTCGATGAATACTTTTCTTAAATAATCTTATAGATTATTTAAGTAAATTGTCAGCAATATTATCCCATATTTTTGTACCAACACGGGAAAAGGAATCCCTCTGATAGTTTAGTCTTGAATATTGATGATAAAAGCTTTTTCTCTAGTATTATAAGAATCAATTGAGCTCATCCTTTTAAAATAAGTTAGTTCTATCAAGAATTTTTATGTATATGATTTCTGGTGATTTCATGCATTAAAATTGAAACTCATTTATAACAGAGCAGTTCTATTGGAAGAACATCGGAGTATCACATACAGGGCATTTTTTAACTATATAACTGGGGGGGGGGAAGCCCCCCCCCTCCAGCCCCCATGGTGCCCCCCCCCCACTCAACCATTTTTGCCCCCCCCCAGTCAAAGTCACCTTTGTCTAAAATATAAGCAAAACATGGAATTTGGAAGGGAGTTTTGATATTCTAGTAACTGAAATTTGCTTTGTGAATCTTATGTCCTGTCTTTTATCTTTATTTAGTGCTAAACATTGTGTTGTAAATACCTTATTAGATTTTAAACATTTTCCAGTGGATTTCATTTCCCAGACCCTGTAGATTTGAGTTGTTGGAAGGCTCGGCTAAACAAGTTAGTGACTGCAGGGGGCGTAGGAAGCAGGGGGAAACGGGCCCCCAACCCAGTGTTTTATAAGGGGGGATAATTTTTTCGAATCTAGAAGTATTTGAAATCGTATATATATATATATATATATATATATATATATATATATATATATATATATATATATATATATATATATTATATATATATATATATATAAATGCCCTGAGGTGATAAATGATGGTATTGCATATTCTCTGTTCGTAGAGAATTTTATAATTATCAGGACACGTTTCTGAAGGACTAAAATTTTATTGAGATATTTTTGAGTTGCTTGACCCCAGACTAAGTGGTAAATAATACCTTAGTCTTCATAATATGCCAATTGTTTTACTAATTGTTAAAGTGTACGTATGTGACACGAAATTTCTTATTTTCTTGAGTGAAAGAACTCTCTAAGCTGTAGTGTATTATAAATTTCAGTTTCTTGTTTTTATGATTTATCCCCAAGATATTTCAATTTGTTTGATATGTAAATGAGTATGAATATATCCGCTATTTTATGACGTCACATTGGTTGCAAGCTCTTCAAAATGGTATAATATCACTGCTATCATCCAAGATGATAATTTCAAAACTTCACTCACTGGTAAATGTGATAAAACACTGGAGAAAAACGTGAACTGATATCTACTGTTTTTAGTGTTAATAGATTTAATTGTAACTAGTGTAAGTTGAGCTTGCAAACAATGTGACGTCATAAATTAGCGGACATGTTCACACTCATTTACATATGAACCAAATTGAAATATCTCGGGACCAAACTGTAAAATCAAGAAATTGAGAAATAAGTTACACTACACGCAGTTTAAAGAGTTCTTTCATTTAAGAAAATAAAAATTTTTATGTCATATACACTTTAAACTAATATTATCTATATGTGCTTTCCAGGACAAAATGCTGTCCAATAAGATACCAAGATACTTAACAAAAGTCTTTGATTCAAAAGAAATTCGAGTTCCATGCAGATTTGTGATCAAAGACTTTAAGATTAGAGGTATAATCAAGCTTTTTTATGAAAATTAAACAGGACAAAATTCAATTTCTTAAAATTTAAGGTCAGTTTATTTGCAATTCACCCGTCAGAAACATGTTCCAATACTATTAACGACTTTCGCAAGGGATTTTAAGTTTTTGTCTGCGTAGAGTAGATTGGTATAATCGGCAAAAAAGGAAGAACTTGCAACTTGTTAGATAAATAATGCATATCATTAATATATATTAAAAACAGTATAGGACCCAGAACTGAGCCTTTTGGAACACCACATAATGTGAGCTCTCTACTTGAAATTTTTGGATTGTTTGTGATATTCCATTGAAATAAGAACCAATTATGAATGGCACCGCACTTATGTCTTAATAATTTAATTTTGAGAAGAATTGTATGGTTAACCGTGTCAAATTCCCTTTGTAAATCTATAAAATACCACAACAAAATAACTCATTGTGTGGCATATGGTTTTGATTTTACTAACTATATCATTCTATAGAAGGGCATGTTGTGTCGAGTGTTTCTCACGGAAACTATATTGCGTAGGAAATAATGTATTGTTCTTTTCTAAGTAAGAGGCAATCATTTTATACATCAGAGTTTCATAAACGTTATTAATATTTGAAAGAAGAGAGGTAGGTCCGTAGTTTCCTGGATCTTCATCATTGTCATTTCTATATGGCTACAGGTACAATTTTGACATTTATAATTTACTGGAGTACCTTCCAAAACAGATGGAGCACTTTTAGGATTCTCGTTGAAAATGAGTACAACCCATAAGCTTTATTGTAAGATAATAGTTCTGTCTCATCTTGTATTTCCTCTGGGGTAATTGGACTTAATGAAAGAGTTCCCGACTGGCTGGGGCCTTTTAAACTCATGAAAACCGCTTAAATGTGCTAGAAATCTCAAATGTGTCTTTAGTTCTCCCAGCATTATTAGGGTTTTTAACTTGAGTTACAAAATGTTTAGTTTTTCCTTTTTTATTTAATAGAATATTAATTTCCTGCTATCTTTTAAAACTTCATATTGTTTATATTATTAGCAAATAGGTTACTATAATATTGCTTCTTATTTATACGAGTTAAAATGGAGATCTTGTTTCTATAGACTTTATATGTTTTTATGTTACCTGAAGATAAAAGCTTATTTTTCACCTTCATCGATTTGAGTAAGCCCTTTCTTATCTAGGGTTTTAAAAGCTGTTTTGTTTTACATTTCATTATGGATTTTAATGGTGCATATGTTGATTGATTTAAATCTTGTTATGAAAGCTTGAAAATGTTTCAATATCACATTACATGATTCCTCCATAGATATCTTATATGCACTAGATAGTGCATCTAATTATTCTGTAATTAAAAAATTGAAGCCGTGATTGCAGACTCAGGATATTCCCATGAAATGAGAAGATTCGTATGTTTTTTTATTTCTTAAACAGGGAAAATAAACATTAAGTTAATCCTATTCCAAACACATTTTTAAATTAAACTATTCAAATGATGAAAGTTATTGTTGTTTTTTAAGCGTTTATTAGCGAGTGGAAATTAGCAACATGGCCGCCATCTATTCAGATGGGAGTAACCGCTGGAATATTCTGGGCTTCAATTTTACTAAAATAGATGCGCTATCTAGTGTATATAAGATATCTACGGTTTTTTCGTATAAACTATCAAAATCAATTCCAATGAGACCATTTTTAATTGAGGTCAAGGAATTCACGAATGTGGTTAAATGTTACGTACGTTGCCTCTTGGTTTATATTTAAAAGATGGTATATAATACAAAATTGTAAATAGTGCTGGTTAATATCTAACACTAGAATTCCGCTAATTACGAAGATACCATCATTTTCTGGAAGATCTTTCACACAGAGCAAACCTGTCTCTTTCACTGTTTCTGCAGCAAATGTAAATTGGTTTGTTTTAATGATATCAGAATTCGGGGCATTTCACTCAGTGTAACTAATTCAAGGCATTTTTTAATACCATGGAGTGGTGAGGCATTTGCCCCACTGGGCCCCTTCCGCTGCTCCACCACTGAGAGAAAAAATGGCCTATTGCCTCAAAGCCAGGACCCTGGGACCTGTATTGAGTAAATGAGTTTAACATTGAAAAGACGTTTAAAAAAACAAAATTTGTTGGTGAGCATACTTAAACTTATGTTGTGTTTGAATGTTTAGCATGCAATTTATTACTTATTTCACCATTAGAACTTTGCTTTGAGAAGCTGAGATTTTTAAAAAAATGTGTTCTTAGAATGCAGGAAATGCTATTTCAGAGACCCACATTTTAGAAATTTCTTAGGAGGACATGCCCCAGACCCCGTAGCTAACTCGTGCCTGCGGTACTCGGTTCACATCTTCGGCGATCACATACTATTCCGGGGGGAGCGCAAGAAAAATGGGCCCTTTGGCAGTTTTGCCCCACCACTGAAGAATCCTTAAAAAATGCACTGAACTAATTGTTGAAGATATTTGTGGATGAGTAGAAATCTTGATGGAATTTTTTGTACATTTATTACACCTATCCAGAAGCAGTTCTATCGGCTCTCTGGCAGGAATCGAACCTACACTAGTAGCTATGGCCTCGCGATTTTTGTGTAGCGCACTAACCAACTGAGCTACAACGAGCCAGTTGTCGAGCTCTAACAAAAGTTCAAGTTTAAATACTACACCGTCGCATCATCTATACGTATTCGTACGTAAACTTGTTGTTAAGCCGGTTTTCCACCAGGCGGAATTTTGCGCGCGGAGCGGAATTTTTCTTTATCTTCTGATTTCTCGAGTGGAACTAATTAGAAAAGACAAAGAAAATTTCCAATGCGCGCACAGGGGGTCCAACTAAGAGCTGCGTTATGAATATGAATAAAACATTAATTAAACGTAATATGAATAAAACATCATAACGTAATATATTTAAATTATTGCACTTACTTGTATAAATTATAAGAGCTTGTATTTCCAGTGAATAGCTTCAAACAGAGCGCTTATAAATGTTCAGAAACATTGCCACTGGCTTCAAACGATTGTTCAAATATGGCGAATAAATTGACAAAACGAAAATATTACATGACGTTCCATCGAAAATAACAGCAAGGATTGCGGGCGCGAGCGGAAGGCGAGGGTAATAGATATTAATAGAAGGGATGATACACCGGTAATGGGATCGTTTGATGTGTTCCATAAGTAGCCTGTTCTCTCGGAAAATTCCAAAACGCCTCCTGCCACTCCAACAACGCCTAAGTGCTTAATTAATGAAAATAAACAATGTTTAGCTATACCGGCTAATATGAAATACTTAAATGGAGCGACCAACGTTTTTTGTTTTTTTTTACATTATTTAGTTTTATTATTATTTCGTCATACGTCACGAGAACAGCCTACTTATGGAACACATCTCGCGAAAATGGCCAAGAATGCTCGATGTTATAAATCACACAAATTAGATTGATCAGTGCTTTTTTGGTAATGGCTAGGGTTGTTCATGTAAGAGAACATCGACTGAGCCTTAAAAAACCCACAAAAAGCTTAAACGGATAGTCTAGAAGCATTTTAAAAAGTCACGTGATATTTGTTTCATCCCTTTTATTTATTTCTTCCCTCGCCTTTTCGCTCGCGCGCCCGCAATCTCTGCTGTTATTTGTATAACTATATCTGTTTTGTTACATGTATAATATTTTCGTTTTGTCAATTTTTTCGCCATATTTGAACAATCTTTCGAAGCAATGTTTCTGAACATATATAAGCGTCCTGTTTGAAGCTATTCACTAGAAATACAAGCTCTTATGATTTATACAAGTAAGTGCAATAATTTAAATATATTACGTTATGATGTTTTATTCATATTACGTTTAATTAATGTTTTATTCATATTCATAACACAGCACTTAGTTGGACCCCCTGTGCGCGCGCGCAAAATTGCGCCTAGTGGAAAACCGGCTTTAGAGTCTCAAAAAACGTGTCTCTGTAGCTCAATTGGTTAGAAACAACGCAGGAAATGCGGAAACGCAGGACCGCAGGCTCTATTCCATCCGGACGGCCGATAGTTCCATTGTTTTCAGAACTGCTCCATCTTAAGTCTGTTAGGTCTAATAAATGTATAAAAAATCCTTCCTTGCTTTGATTGGACTTTGCTGCTTGCAATATGCTTATACCAAGAGTGGGTTTCATACTAAATTCTCAAGAATACACATTCAAGCACACCTGCTTCTCAATACGCTGTACCACGTCTTGACATCTTAGTCGATCTTCGGCACAAAATTCCCAACACTGGAGCATCATTTCGTAAAGCGCGTCTGGACAATTTTTAGGCTTGCCAAGTCGTTGCCCGTTGTTAAGGTATGGAAATATCTAAGAATAAGATACAGCAGTGTTCTAAATATTGTTACCAAAAATGTACGATTAAAGTTACAATAACCTCTTCCTAAAGGTAATTATTATCGAAATTACACATTACATTCATTCAAAAGTAATGCATGCTGGGAACTTATAGTGCGTTTATTTTTAAATATTCATAAAAAACGTTTAATTTGATAAACCTCACGAATTTTTTCTTAAATTAATCCCCAAGCCAATTTCTTCTTTTTCTTCATCATTTAAACATAAGTAAGAGCTCATTGTAAAATAAAAGCTCAGAAAATATAGATTTTCACGTTGTTTATTTAGAGTTTGTGTTTGGATTCTAGAATTTCTGCACTAACGTGGGCATGCGGATAGCTAGCGGGCCCGTGTTCGTGCCGATAATCTGTCATCATGACCTGAGTGTGCGATTAAAGTTTCATCGGCACAGTTTTTAACTAGTTATAAAAATTATGAAATGATTGCATTGTTTATCGCAGTGTTATTAATCTCGGTGTTATTATCCACCGGCATGCACCGAAAGCAATGTGACAAAACAATCTAAAGTAGTTTATGTCATTACTGTCGAGTTCACGAAAATTTGACCACAAATGTTCCGAACTTCGTTGCAAATCTCGCCAGTTCGTTGCGAAATTGGGAAGTTCATATTGGAATTCACAAGCCAACTTGTAAACAAAGTCTCTGATTGATCCCTGAAGTAAAAGAAGCCAATCAAATGCGTACTTTACAAACTCGTTTATGAATCTCATTATGAACTTTTGAACTTTGCAACGAAGTATTTTGTGAAATTAAATAACGGCCAATTCCAATTTTAATAAATTCTTTACGGCAATTTACTTTTAATTTACTACGCGGGCGGGGTCGGTTCGAGTTTGTCATATTTTGGAAATGAGTCTAGCTTCTTCGACATCAATGTAATCTAGTAATCATGATATTTTCTGTGTTGGTGTAATGTTCTCATGGTGAACAAGATGCTTGTGTGATGTTACTCTGAGTGTATATCCACACCGGGCAGGCTTGAAAAATATGCGTGGCCACGGTGGGAATCGAACCTACGACCCAAAGGAATACTAGCCCAATGCTCTGCCAACTGAGCTACGCGGTCAGATCAGGTCATTACTATAGATTACATTATCGAAGGAACTTAGACTCAGTTTCGAAATATCACATACTCGAACAGACCTGACCGCATAGCTGAGTTGGCAGAGCATTGGACTAGTATTCCAGAGGTCGTAGGTTCGAATCCCACCGTGGCCAGGCATATTTTTCAAGCCTGCACGGTGTGAATATACACTCAGAGTAAAATCACAAGCATCTTATTCACCTGAGTACATTACACCAACACAAGAAATGGATTATATTAAGTATAAAATGTGGTACGACGGGAAAATCCCCCCCCCCCC